ACAGTTCATTGCTTTGTTGCCTCTTTACTTTTTGGTTGCAGCTGTTAACTGAGTTTACAACCCTTCTCCATTGAGTTCTATTGTGAGCTGCTTTTTCCCACTCATTCTGCATGTTAATTCCCTTTAAATTTTCGTGGAAAATCTCCTTGTACCTTTTCAGTTGTCCACCCAGCCTCCTCTTACCGTCTACAAGCTCACCGTAAAGCAGAGATTTTGGCATGCGGTTTTCTTGCATTCTGCATACGTGACCAGCCCATCTTAAGCGGGATTTTGTGACCATGACTTCAATACTCTCGCAGTTTTTTCAAGGACCGATACGTTTGAGACATGATGAAACCACCGGACTCTTAAGAGTTGTCTAAGGTGTCTCTGTAGCAACTTGTTTAATGCGTTCATGTGTCGGCGGTACGGCACTCAGGTTTCGCTCCCATATAACATGGTGGGGATTATAATTGCTCGGTACACTGCAAGTTTTGTTTTTGTACTCAAGTCATGATTGTAGAAAACCCTGTCTTTTAATTTCCAGAATGCTCTTGAGGCGCTACTAATCCTGTGCTGAATTTCAGAGTCAATATTGGTCCTTTCCGAAATCAAACTGCCAAGGTAATGGAATTCCCCTACATATTCCAATAGTACTTCTTCGATTTTTATAGCATTGTTGTGATCTTTCGGGGGAGTGCACATGATTTTAGTTTTGTCGATGTTTAGCTTAAGGCCCAAAGCCTCGTATGCCCAGGTATATGTGTTCAACATTTCTTGTAATTGTTGTACCGTGTTTGCAACTAGAGCGCAGTCGTCAGCGTATTGAAGTTCTGTGATAAATTTTGTACGTTTTTTTGCCGTGTTTTTATGAGTCTTTTTATGTTAAACAGACCGCCGTCATATCTGTATCTAATGCCCAATCCTCCTCCTGCAGTTTGCTGTCCACTATAATGGAGAGCGCTGCCATGAATATGTTGAATAGGAGAGGCGCTAAGACACATCCCTGCCTAACTCCTGTATTTGTTAGGAATGGGTCGCTCAGTGATCCATGATGTAACACCCTTGACTTGTTGTTGTTATGGAGGCTTTTACACACTGTCACAAATTAACTATAACAGATGCGAAAGTACACCGAATTCCGCGTTTCGGTTTCTGCGACCTTCAGAAAGAGTTCATAGACAATCCGCATCAATGTATAGTTTCCGTTATTATTTGTTTGGGTTAAAATAATCTGCACCAATATGTGATCGAGGCGATATGTGATAGGGAGTGTAGGATGTTTAAAAACCTACTGCCTTACTTACACTGCCCTAAACTTACATTGTTTAGGTAGACAGACGTCTGCAAAAGCTATATAAATTTATGATCAAAATTCCCAAAGGTAATAGTAAAACTTATCAATTAGAATTATATTGTAGGGTCGTTTATGACAGATTTCCGCCGGAATCGCGCCACAGCCAGCTGATTTGTTGTTTTTAAGCTGTTTTATGGTTGTCTTTATTTCCTGTTCTGTTATTGGGATGTCTAATACATCGAGGCTGTTATACTGAGGTATTGTGTTTAGTGCTTCTATATTGGGGTTGTTTTCTTGGTTAAGGATATGGCATATAATCGAGGCATATAATCTCACAGTAATTTAATAGATTGCTCATCATATATCAGTTCGTAGGAAATTAGAAAAAAAAAAGATATTTATAGTATAAAAACATTAATTAAGGCCCTAAGTTGTAAAAATTATTAGCCGGTTTGAGATTTACAAAGGGCTAATGCATATATGGTATATGGCAGACAAACTTACTTAAATTGTCGTGTTTGTATCTACATACACCGAATAATAATATAACAAGAAGGGTCAGCCGGCGTTCTAGCTTTCATGTGGCGTTTACAAAGACGAGCCGCGGCGGTAGCAAAATTTTTTATGGTCGTATGCAGCCGCTGGGTCGAGCGTTCGAATACGGGGTTTCTTCACAAATAAATGCGGCGCGGCGGATGGAATTAAATGTAAATAGTATGAAGTCTGGTCGGTATGTATTTGAAATAGGATAACGTATAACAAACAAACATATTATGTTAAATAAATATATTAATTGTGTATATTTATTTACACAGAACAAAAACTAAAATAATAACAAAATTAATGACCTAAAAAAGCATAATCCGAGGCAAAATAATCTAAAAATTTTAACTTTTGAACATAAACGTTTTTTATTAAAATAAATAGACAAATAAAAACATTTTTTTACAAAAGAACATCACGTCAAGATGGATGATCTCAATTTTGTAAGTTTTTACCAATAGAGCTAGGTAACAACTTTAATAAATATACTCCGTACAAAAAAACACACCGATTTTAAATAAGAGCTTCCGCTAAAAAACACAGCCACGTTGAAATAACGTAAAATAGGGCGGGATTTAGAGTGACTCTTCTTGCTATATTATTATTCGGTGCTATATATTATGTAGTCTAATAAAAATAAAAAACTACCTAAAGAAAAAGCCACAAAAAACTGAAAGACAAAAACGAGTCAATCCACAAAAGGCGATTTGTCATTTTTGTCAACCACGCCAAAGTTGACAGAATTAAAAACCACACTATCATTTTAGAGTGAGTAGGGGGAGTGTTTTAGGAGTTAGGGAGTATAGTTTTAGGGAGTGTAGGATGTTTAAAAACCTACTGCCTTACTTACACTGCCCTAAACTTACATTGTTTAGGTAGACAGACGTCTGCAAAAGCTATATAAATTTATGATCAAAATTCCCAAAGGTAATAGTAAAACTTATCAATTAGAATTATATTGTAGGGTCGTTTATGACAGATTTCCGCCGGAATCGCGCCACAGCCAGCTGATTTGTTGTTTTTAAGCTGTTTTATGGTTGTCTTTATTTCCTGTTCTGTTATTGGGATGTCTAATACATCGAGGCTGTTATACTGAGGTATTGTGTTTAGTGCTTCTATATTGGGGTTGTTTTCTTGGTTAAGGATATGGCTGTAATGTTCTTTCCAGCGATTTCTGATTTGTTCTTCCTCTTTTAGAAGTTCGCCATTTTGTGCCATGATTGGGCAGCTTACTCCCAGTTGAACCGTATACTTCTTTTACAGCTTCGAAGAATTTACGATAATCGTGATGCGTGGCGTACTCTTGAATCGGATTCGCTTTTTGTGACCACCAGTTATCCTTTACTTGGCGCAGTTCTCTTCGAAGCGTGTTGTTGGCTGATTTAAAGTTGTCTACCAGTCTTGGATTATGTGGATTTGCAGTGACTGCTTGATGTGCTCTATGCTTTTGTTCCAACAAAGCCTGTATATGCGGTTGATTTTCGTTAAACCAGTCTGGTTGTTTCTTTTTGTTCGACTTTCCCAGTACTGCTTCGCTGGTTTTATGAATCGCATCCCTTAATTGTGTCCAGCCTTGTTCAGCTCCCAATATTGAGATTGAAGTTATCAGTGGAAGTCTTGATGGCTTTGTTGATTTTGCTTTGTTTATTTTGTTATTCTTTGATGGCTTCCCGGAGGGCGTAGGCGGTATTTTTGTTCTCTAGACCCCGTACGTTCAATCTGGTCATGTTGTTTTGCTTTTTACAGTGTGGATGTTTGGGTTTTAACAGGATTTTCATTTTTGAAATTAAAAGTCGGTGGTCAGTGCCGCATTCGACATCTATTCTGGCTTTTGTGAGCCTAACATCTTTTAGATGCGTCCTTCGAACGATTATGTGGTCCAATTGATGCCAGTGGCCTGATCTAGGATGTTTCCAGGTACCTTTAAACTTGTCCTTCAACATGAACCACGTATTGGTGATGCAAAGATTATACTCTGCGCATGTTGTTAATAAGCGTTCACCATTGCTATTTACGTTTCCCATTCCATGTTTTTCCAATACGTCAGGCCATATTTCCTGTTGTTTGCCAACACGGGCATTAAAGTCATCTAGCAAGATGATTCGTTCGTGCTTTGGAATTCATTGAAGGGCATTTTGTAAAGCTTGGTAAAATTTATCCTTATCCTCAATTTTAGCGTCAAGGGTGGGAGCGTAGGCACTAATGATGTTGACGTAAGTTTTGTCTGATATGGGGTACCTTAGGGTCATAAGACGTTCGGAGACACCAATAGGTACTTCTGTTAACTTGGTGGCGATTTCGTTTTTGATCGCAATGCCTACGCCATGAATTCTCCTGTGTTGCGGGGTGACCTTTCCAAAAGAAGGTGTAATGCTCTTCAGTGGGACTACCGTCATCCGCAAAGCGTGTTTCGCTTAGAGCGGCAACATCTATATTTAATCGGTGGAGTTCCTGTGAGACCAGTGCTGTTCTTCTCTCTGGTCGATTTGAATTTATCTTGTCCAGTAGAGTGCGGACGCTCCACGCCGCGAAGTTAAACATTGATGTTTTTTCTTTCTCCGATGATACGCTCGAGTATGCACCCCCTCCCGGAGATCCGATTGAGGGGGTATTTTACCTCCGGATGATGATTTTGTCCCACTCGAATGTTCCATCATTGATGTGTGTTAGCTGCGTGAAAAGGTTTAACTGTAACGGTTGCGCTGCCGCACAGTTTTGGCTGCAACTGTAGCACGGGATGACTATGGCACAGTGAGGACCGCGACGATAGTTCCCTTGTGCTACGTTCTCGGCCGGCTAGGAGTAGTTTACTATTCCTCTTCCCCAGAAAGATGGTAGGTCTGAGGATTGTATAAGGTTATAACCGCATATACTCGGACGTCAGAGCCTCGTCTGTGTAAACAGGGTGCACCACGTGAAGGTGAGATTGACTTTTGGGTAAGCTAGGCTATATGTATCGCTTCAATACCCCAATCGAATTGCACCCCATCCGAAACTAAGTATTTTAGGACATACATTTATACGAAATTTTTTACTTATTTTTTTCTGCGGAATATGCTGCCGAAGTTTCCGGAATACAGTTCGGACCACCCTATATATCAGGTATAGAGCTAGTAATGAATAATAATTATATGACCTTTTGACATTCCCAATAACTGATTTAGGCAGAGAGAAAACTTACTTTGCCTTCACTAATACTGCAATAAGCCGTCGAAACATGAACGAATACATCCAACTTCTTCATTTTGAGTGCCAACAATGCCATATCTCTTGCACTTGTTAAATTTGTCCGAATTGCATCTTTCAAAAAATCATCAAATTTAACCGAAGCAGCACAATGAAATACGACGTGAACGTTTTCTATTAACATCTTCATATCACCACCGGATATACCTGTTAGAATAAAATAACAGAAAATAAAAAATGTAATAATACTTAGCAGTTTATTTCTTTAGCACAGACTAATATTTGGTGGAAAAGATAACCAATTAGATTTAACCAATTTTTAAAAAATGTTATTTTAACGTAACGAACTGAATTTGCCACCAACAATTTGCAATTTCTTCAACTATCATTACTTTATTTTATGATGCTATTTTTCAATATCACGAGGTGGCTTTGCTGACTATTGTCGTAATATCATCTTGAGGCGCATTAAAATACTATATTTAACTTTAAAAGACGTTAAAAAGTAAAGATATAGGCTTGCAGGCTTGGTTTTAATAAATATTAGTAACACTAACAGAACTAACGATATTTAAAAAACATAACTGTGATAACTACTGTCACCAAGGCCGTTTCGTCATATTGAAAAATAACATCAAAAAGTAACGATTAACGATAATTGAAAAAAATTGCAAAATGTTTGAAGCAAGTTCATTTTGCTCTTAAAAATGAACCAAGGCATGTGTTAGCATGAGCCAAAAAGCAGAATGCTCAAGAGACATGGTTTAAAAATAATGATGTAGGAATATTTGCTTATGCAAGAATATGCAATTATTGCACAGGGCATTTCAAAATTATGGTAAAAGTTAACCCTTTCATTAACATAATAAGCCAAATAACATTTTATAAAAAAACTGTGTTTACGGATTAAAATTGATATATTTATATACAGTCTGATGAAAAATGCATGAAAAAGGGCTAAAAATAAAAAAAATATATGAAACTTTAAGTATGGTAAAAAAAATTACGTTGCGTTTTTTTGTATCTGACTGTATATAGGTGATTCTGCATAATTTATTAATTTATGTATATATCATATCTGTAATAGATCGTATTTATATTACCTAAATTGTCTTCAGCGACATCGCCTTGTATGAATAAGACTTTGCGAAATAATTCAGGCTGATTGTCTCTCAACAAATCAAATATCTAAAATAATTAAATAAATGAAAAACTTTGATATTGTGTGTGCAGGGAAAATACTATAAAATCTCTTTTCATACACAAGTCAGTTTATAAGAGTTTTTGATATTTGAGAGTACGGGCAAATCATTATAATTAATTACTATCCTAATCCTTAGAATCCTAATAAAATAATATTTACTGGATTGGAGAATAATTGCTCTCTCCTTTCCTTTAAAGTTTTTCCTTTTTTGTTCCTCACTAGCGCATATAGATTATGAATATCTGGACAACTGCGTAACAATTTCTCAATAAGAGCTTTTCCAATGAATCCAGTAGCGCCAGTAATAAAAATGTTTTTAGCTGAAAAAATTAAACTTGATTAAAAAAAATTAAAAATCACTACAAAGTGAAATAAAAGTATCAATTAACACGGGTCCGTTTGTACAGAATGGGCTCGTCCAAGAGAATACTACTAATTTACAATATTTTTTTAACTGTTACTTTTGTCTGTTAATGTTTAATTTTTTCGCAGTTACTATAAAAACAAAGGAAATTAAAAATTCGGTCAAAAATTTAACAATAAATCACAAAGAACAAAGAAAAAGTATTTAAAATCTCGCAATACAACTATTCAAGAACACTTCAGTTTTGTTCAATAGATACGTCGTTTTGCTTCCGACTTCCGACATGCTTCCGACTACGAAGACGGGTAAAGATATACTTCTCGAAACGTTAAATTTTTTGTCAGTTTGGCAAATATGTTTATAATATGTGTAATATTTGTTAATATAATATTTATTAATAACTGCTGACACGTTGGTCTTTGTTGGATTTACTCAGCGGTGCTTACAAAAAATAACTATTTTATTTTGTAAATTTTGTCACAGTGCAAGTGGCAAAATACTCATCCCATAGCACTTTTTTGAAGAGATGGATCCACCACAGAGGTTTCTATAATCTAACACTTACTTTATGTATTATAGAGCGAGGAAGCGTCCACACCAATTCTATTGGCTGAAATTTTTGACAGATGGGTTTTCGAAGAATTTCAGCCAGCAGAATTGCTGGAGGTCGATCCGCCTTTCTGCTTTTTCTACTATGGTGTAGATCTGTGGATGTATTCTCAATGATTGATTGGTAGAAGAATTTATAAAAAATGAACTAAACATTAATTAATTTAAAGTTGATTTTTTGAGTCGTTTTATAAAATTCCCAACAATTTTTAAAATCCTATTAAGAACGTTAAATACAGGGTGGCGCACCTCATTCGCCTCGGTTGATTATACGAAAACGGAAAGAGTTAGAAACAAAATATTTTATGGGTATATGTGGAGGTAATGTGCACAATTTTAAATTATTTTGAAATGTACAGGGTGTTTCAGAACTAAGATCCATACCAAAGTTATATTTTTTCTTATGGAACACCCGGTATTTTATTTCATTTTTGGATTCTTGGGCCCAAAAAAAGGTATTATTTACGTATTTATTATAAGGATTAAACACGTTTAAAATCTTTGGTTTTTGAGAATTGTAATCAAGATGGCTAGAGTTGTCATGGCCAGTTTCTAGTGACAGTTAGTAGCTATTTTCAAAATCGATATTAGTTTATGGACTTATTTAAATTTATATCAGTTTACTTTTATTTAATGTACCTACAATAGTTTAATAAATAATATTTATTAAATATGTGTATATTATTCTATTAAGAAAAACGAAGTAGTTTTTTGAATTATTTTACGATGACTTGTAGATATATGGATTTTCTATAAAATAGCCAATTACGGTAAATTAATTTTATTCACTTTCCTAATAGGTTTTTTATAAACCACACTACCAGCTCTGCAAAATAGGACAAGAAGTTTTTTTTAAAGAAACGCTTATCAGGAAGATTCCTATTTGGACATCTAAGCAATTTTCCTCAGAAAATAATATCACTAGTAACATATCTATTCGTTGCTTTATTTTTGTTGATAAAATAATGAATACATACTTACTTATTAAACTATTGTAGGTAACTTTGAGAATAGTTGTTAACTGTCACTAGAAAATTGCCATGGCAACACCCAGCCATCTTGATTGCAATTTTATTTAAAAATCGCTTTTTATTCAAAATCTGAGCTAGATAGGTATAGGAAACCCTAATATAGTTTAAAAGAGCATTTGAATCTGCTTCGATTTATTTAAAAAAAGACAGGGTGTTGTATTTGAAATAACGAAGTGTTTATATAAAATATATCCTTAAAATAGATCAGCAACTTTTGATAGCCCTGTATAAATTTAAGGAACCAATACCATTTTTCAGTAAAGTTTATTTCTCTACCTTTAATAATAATTAATTAATTTAAATTTTTAAATTAAAAAATTAATAGTCTATTCTATTGTATAGCATGCAAGTTTATATATCTTTAAATATCTCGAAAACTAAAGATTTTAAACATATTTAACCCTTATAATAAATGCCTTTTTTTGGGCCCAAGAATCCAAAAATGAAATAAAATACCGGGTGTTCCATAAGAAAAAATATAACTTTGGTATGGATCTTAGTTCTGAAACACCCTGTATATTTCAAAATAATTTTAAATTGTGCACATTGTCTCCCCACATATACCCATAAAATAGTTTGTTTCTACATATTTCCGTTTTCGTATAATCAACCGAGGCGAATGAGGTGCCCTACCCTGTATATTCATAATTATTACTTAGTTGATTATTACAACAAATAAAATATATAAGCAATAATCAAAATCCAATATCTACACACGCCTACATATAAATTGATTACGAAACACAATATACACAGCTATTATTATACAAAACACGTAGTTTTTATTAATATGTATAGATAGTTCAAATTCGTTAAAATTTCGTAAAAAGAAATTACCCACCTTTATAAAATTCTCGTACACTATTTCTGTTTTCCATTCTAATTACTGATCAATCAAAGATATTTTTTTTAATTTGTTTGGTTTTCTAAATGTGAGTGATGAACTAAACTATTCGTTCATTATTAATTTAAATCACTTACGTATATTTATTTTCTATTTAAAATTCATAATATATTAACCTTTACGATTATTTTGGGCTTAAATGGAAATATGTGTCAGTTGAAATTAAAGCGTAATATTTAGATTACTATTTTTTATATTTTACGCCACTTTAGCATTTTAATATAATCAATATTTTTCTACTACTTATTTACACGTGTTTTTATTATTCTCCTATTGTTTACCATACTGCGTCTTACAAGATTTACTAGTCATTATCAAGTAAAACTAAAGTAACCAATTAGAGACTATAGTTTTTTAGATACATTTAAAAACTATAGTAGTCCAGTTCACCCTCTACACTATCCGGAAAACAGTTCGAAGCAGGTCAAGGTCGTTTTTCCTTCTTGGCCTAATTTTGTCTCGTCTTTTCTTCCTAACTTTGTCTTGTCCTACTGTCGTTTCTTAAAAACGCCTATAAACTACTCGTGAAATTGCGTTGAAGATCTTGGGGGCATTTTTTCGGCCACTTTCGGTTGTTTCCTGTTGTCTCGTTGAATTTCGTTTTGTCTCGAACTACTTCCACGACGTGTCGGTTTCTATGATTAAATGTAAAAACTCTTTTTCATAAATCTTAGTGAAATAAGTAAACCTAGACGTTCCTAAAATATCTGTTGCTACGATGATATTTCATTAATAATCTCGTTTTATGTTGATATTCCACACAATTAATATTTTAACACGCGCTTATAATGTTAAGTAAAATAAGTAAATAAGGAAATTTTCAGGTTAGATGTCGCCCTCTATGATCTATCTAGATCTACGTATCTATGTATTATAATAGTCGATAGTCGAAAACGAGACGAAAATAAGTTGTCTTTTTACACAATGACTACCTGTTATATCCACCTATTAATATGGTTATGCCCTCTTAATAATGTATACTCTTAATCTTGACATTTCCAGAATGCACTGTGAAGTGTCAGCAGTTAAAACTTATAAATTCTTCATTGCTTGGGCGTACCTTTTAAGTCTTTGTTGGTACGTTCCAAGAGTATATTGCTAATGTATCAATAAAGCTTCACCGTCGTAAAACTGAGTTTTTTTAAAAACAAAAGCACCACAAAAAGAACTTTAACTTACCTCTACACTCCATAACAATTAGTGGAGTAAAATCACTGAGAAAAGTCGCTTCCTTCTCGAAAAAAAATTTTTGAAGGTATAACCACATAAAATCGTTATGAAATGAACGGTTAGGGCTTTGTGCATGTGAAATGACTAATTACGACCTTTTTGGGGGGTCAGAAATTTTTTATCCCGGAAAATGAGAAAAATCTGTCAGAAATTTATAACCATGTTTTTTTACCTTTCCTACGCGATAACTCCTAAACTAATCAACTTGTATTTGTATTTTGTATTGTATTTTACTAAGAGTGAGTCCCAGGTGTGACCCTCCACTGAGGCCGCGAGGGCCTATTGTGGCTCAGTTTCTACAAGCTCTTTAATAGAAAAAGAGCATTAAAGGCACGCGTCGGCGACGGTCGCGATGTCGGATGATCCGAAAGATCCTGATAAGTCTGACAAAATAAAGTGCAAAATTTGTCTAGAAAATGCTGATAAACGTAGTTTAAAGTGTAGTAATCAAAACTGTGCAGTTTACATTCATAAAAAATGTTTCGACAATATCGCCAAGTGGTTTTCTATCGATTTAAAAAACTGGCGCTGCCGGGGCTGTTCTGAGGACGGAAAACGTTCCAGACTTGCATCTACATCTGCTGATATACCGTGCGATAGTGTTGTGGTTTTGAAAAAGGAAATAGAGTGTTTAACGAGGAAAAGGAGCTGATAAATAAATTGGCAAGTGAGAGAGAATACACTATCTCTATTCTACAAAAGGATTTGGCCGACGTGAATTCCAAGGTATGCAGAAACACGGCCGCTGATAATTTTTTATCTTGCGATGAGCAAAAAAGTGCTAATACGGCTACTTTATCTTATAGTGAAGCGACAAAAACGAAGAATATAGTCAAGTCAAAACCCTATTTACTAATAAAATCGACGGATAGAAATGTATTAATTCATCTGTAGAAAAAATATTTAAATCTCGTTTTTCACCAGGCTCACTGAATGTCGAAATAAATAATACCAAGTGTACCAAAGACGGTTTCCAAATTTCTTGTAATAGTGAAACCGACATATCAAATCTGAAAGATCATCTAAAAGAAAAAATTGGAAATGAGTTTGAAGTGTGTGACCAAAAAAGATTGAATCCGAGAGTGGCAGTTTACGGAATTCCCGCAGATTTTAAAAAGGCCGGAACAAAACTTGAGCTCGTAGATGACTTTATCGAAAAAATAATATATGATAACAATCTCGATACGAATATCGGTGACATAAAACTTGTTTATGCTTTTCAAAAAAAATCTTTAATTAACGTAGTTTTAGAATTATCAAGTAGTTTTTATAAATTTCTTTCCAACAGGGGTTTTGTATATATAGGTTGGCAAAGATACAGGGTAAATGATTATTTTAATATTGTTCGTTGTTCTAATTGCTGTAAATATGGACATTTAAGTAAAGATTGTAAAAATAATATAGTTTGTCAAAATTGCTCTGGTTCTCATAGTGCTAAGGATTGCAGGGCAGATGTCAAATGTTGTCCTAACTGTGAATTTCACAACACTAAATTCAATACAAGTTGGTCTACCGAACACGATGCTGAAAATAGGTCTTGTAGCTTTTATATATCGAGACTAAATTATTTTAAAGCAAATATTAATTATGACTGACAATAGTTGCTACAGATTTAAAGTAGGACATTTAAATGTAAGATCAATTTTCACAAATTTTAACAATTTCACATATTTAATGGCCTCTGAGCGTTTTGACGTAATGTGTATTTCTGAGACATGGATTGCGTCAAATTACGCAACCGATATGATACATCTTCCAAATTATTTGTTTTTTCATAAGGATAGAGCGGGTCGTGGAGGAGGAGTTGGAATGTATATCCATGAGGATATTTCTTGTAAGGTTGTGTTTTCTGATCTAGAGGAAATGGAGGGAGTGGATCAGCTCTTTCTTGAAGTTACAGTTCATAATTTTAAAATTTTATTTTGTGTTTTATATAGAGTACCCTCTGGTAGTATCCCACATTTTGTGGAGCATGTAGATAATATGTCATTTGTTATACCGCAATATGACCATATATGTTTTACCGGAGATATAAATATAAATCAGCTAACAGATAGCAGTTTTCTGGACTGCATATCGCCTTTTGACATTATTTCTCTTATTAAAGAACCTACACGTACTACAGTCTGTTCGCAATCTTGTATCGATGTTATTTGTTTAAGCTCGGTACTTTCAGATATGCTAACATCTTCTGGCGTTACTCCTGCAGATGAGATTTCAGACCACAGTTTACTTTATTGTTCTTTGGATTTGAATTTGCCTAAAACTTTACCGCGTGAAATTGTGTTTAGAGACTTTAAGTATTTGTCTAGGGCAAGCTTTTTGAATGATTTACATGCTGTTAACTGGAATTCTATTTACTACATGAAAAACATCGACGAAAAAGTAAACTTTCTGTCAAATAAAATTATTGACCTATTTAATATGCATGCACCTCTTTTGTCTAGGCGAGTGACGAAGCCATGTGCTCCGTGGTTGTCATGTAATACAAAATTGTTAATTAAGGAGAGAAATAACGCCTTGACAAAATACAAAAAATCTAAATCTACGTCAGATTTGGCCTATTATAAATCACTTCGTAATCTAGTTACCAACATAGTACGTCAGGAGAAAAGGGCTTTCTTAAATTTACACGACTCTAACACAAACAGCAAAATACTTTGGAAAGCTCTAAAAACTTTGAATATTAAATCTAAGCAAACAGAATCTATTCCCGATAAATTTAAAAATGTCAATAATCTTAATGATTACTTCGCTTCAGTCTACAGTCAATATAACAGCTGCAAACTAACTGCTGAATCTTTTAAAATTAAAGAAATTTAATGACACTATTTGTTTTAAATTCAGATTGGCCGAGGAGTGGGAGATAATTAAAATTGTTACATCATTAAAATCCAATGCAGCTGGCTATGATGGTATCACTACTGTTATGTTACAATACTGTTTGCCCTGCGTTGCTTTACCTCTAACTCATATTGTTAATTTATGTCTTGAAACGGGATATTTTCCAACTGCTTGGAAACTTTCTTTGGTTAAACCACTCCCAAAATCAAATAAGCCGGCAGAACTTTCAGACTTCAGACCTATAGCTTTAATACCGGTCTTATCAAAAATACTTGAAATTTTTTTAAAACCTCTAATCTACCAGTATGCAGTTTTTAATAAAATAATACCAGCTCATCAATCTGGTTTCAGGCAAGGCCATAACACTGCCACTGTGCTATCGTATGTAATAGATAATATTTTGAATAGTATGGATGATGGCGAAGCTTTGGCTCTAATTTTACTGGATTTTTCTAAAGCGTTTGACACGCTGGACCACGAGTTATTGTGTAGCAAACTGGCGTTTTATGGATTTTCTGACATATCACTGAAGTTTTTTCGGTGCTATCTCTCGGATAGAAAACAAGTTGTTCAAATTGATGACAATTTTTCATCCTCAAATTGTGTTACTTCTGGAGTGCCTCAGGGCTCTGTCCTTGGTCCTATCTTATTTTTAATTTACACGGCAGACTTACTTCAAAAGTCGTCTTATTGTAACATGATATCATATGCTGATGATACACAATTACTTATGTCATTTAATCCAAATGAAACAGAAACTGCTATAACTAAGATTACTCATGATCTTAAACTGATATCTGAGTACTCTGCTGAAAATAACTTAAAGTTAAATATTAATAAATGTTCTTTGATGTGCTTTTGTTCTGCGCGTCGTTACGAATCTGTTTCATCACAGCTAAAGGTCAACTTGAATGGTACATCCCTAAATTGTGTTAAGCTATATAAAAATCTAGGCGTCGTCTTTGACGTGGA